CTTGCTGCTATTCTTGATAAAGTTTCCCCAGATTCATGCCATAAGATTATGAAAAGATATTATTGATTAAAACAGAATGGTTATACAACCTATTAATAATCCTCAAACCCCACTATCCAACACGGTGGTGTTGCCGTGTACATGCAATCACATGCGGGTATGCAGTTTTCATGGAGGTTCGGCGTGGTGGTGTTGCCAAGTGCAATCACAATTTGAATGTAAGATCAAAACCGCAGTTCATGAAAATATTATATAATCAACCTTCAAACTTAATAAGTCTTAATCATAAAACCAGTGGCTCTGATACCACATGTAAACTTTATGTGGTTATATAATTAAAACACAAACAAGGAGTTGGTTGACTTGATCGTGAAACAATAGTCATTGGAGAACAAGTAGAGATGATGTAGGATACGGCAACAACAAAGTCTTCTACAAAGCACCTAGCCAATACAACTATTTTATGGGAAGTGTTTGTTGTGTATATAGGGTTTGCAGGGACCTTAGTATTTATACTGGATAAGGCATTAAGGTTTCGTCTATAAAGAATTCTCAAATCCCACTTTTTTAGCCTATCAGTTAGGTATCATAATCACATAAAATCAAGAACTCCAGCAATCTTACTTGTATTACAAGACACCTAATATAAGATTTGATATCTTTAGGAAATCAAATCACATTATCTACATTAATCTCTCATATTACATTCCTATTATATGTTGTAAACCATTTAAGGTTGATTTACATCGGAATAAATCCAACACTTGACCCTATACTCAAGAACTCCATCAATCTTACTTGTATTACAAGACACCTAATATAAAATTGATATCTTTAAGAAATCAAATCACAATATCTACATTAATCTCTCATATTACATTTCTATTATATGTTGTAGTCCATTTAACGTTGATTTACATCGGAATCCAACACTTGACCCCATACTTTTGGCAATCGTTGGACCCTCCACTGTTATATATACAGAAGAAATTAAAGAACCCAAAATTGTTATAGTTAATTTTTATTCAAGCGGAGAAAAGCAAAAGTAGTTAATTCAAATTATTGTATATTACTATTAATGTAAGTAATATATTAGTTACCACTTATCAGTTGTCACATCCAAGCCCGAGGTCCATCATATTCCGAGCCTGCTTCATCACCGTAATACGATATTGTCCGTTTTGGGCTCCTACCACGGCTTCACGGTTTTATTTTTGGGAACTCACACGAGAACTTTCCAATGAATCATCCATCATGGAAGTGCTCTCGTGCGCTACTCGTTTAACTTTGGAATTCCCATGGAACTCGAAGTCAGTGAGCTCTCAAAAAACCTCGTGTTAGGTAGAGATGAAAATATACATATAAAGCTTCCAGGATTCACTCCCCTAATGATGTAAGACGTCACACTAGTAGTACTGGGAGCAAGATTGTTGGCAGTTTTAGTAGAGTTGCCTTCCAATTGATAGAAAACTTGAGCTTCTGGTGATTTAGGATCCAGATGCAGAAGTTCTGCGGGCATTCAGTAATTCCATGCCAACCAGAAAATTAAGCAGAAAAAATAGCGTGTCAAAATTAGAATACTACTGCAGAGTGGTATGTATGTATGTATGTATATAAAACTCGAAATACTTATGTACGTACGTACCGGGACACTTGGAGACATTAGCGGGGCCTTGCAAACGGCTGGCAGACCTAAAGCAAGCGTTACATTCAGCTGTAGACTTAGTGCAGGATCATTGCGATTTTTAATGATAACACAAAGGCACCTCTTATTGTTGTTGCCACTTGTTTGTGAGCAGTGCAACAGACTGGTGTAGGAGCCTTGGCTTGACCTCCAACGTAAGGCAGACACGTGGCCATCCCTACTAACTGCTGTGTACATTCCTCTCTGTCTTTTGCTGAATCTGCTGTTGCAAAGGTTGCTGTATAACTTGATGTCATAATTAACAGGACTAGGACCAAGTAGACAAACCCTAATGCCATTTTCTGAACTGAAATTAGTAAAGGATAATATTTCAGTACAAGGTAGAAGAGAGAGAGAGAGAGAGAGAGAGAGAGAGAGAGAGAGGGTAGCCCTTTGTTAATTTATAAGAGAAATGAAGGTGGTAGCTAGAGTGTATTGGTGGACTAGTAATGGTCTGGTCTTGTTAGATTTTTGGATCGGCGGGGGCCCCACTTTAACAACACCATTTCATATTAGATTTTTGGATCGACGAGCCTGCGAGGTTTCACTCTATCAATTTCGATTTTATTATAACTTTATCACAAAAGATATCAGCATTAATTAAAATGAGATAATCATATTTAAACCTCATTGTTTTCTTTTCACTCACAGATGTGAAATTCCAACAAGCCTTTGGGTTCATTCTTTCCGATGGCCACTTCCATTTCATAATTTTCTTTCAAGGCTATTTTTCAGCGTTGATGCCACCATGACATCGTTCAACCGTATTGTCGACATCATGCACAACACATCTTATTTCATTAAAATAAATAAAGATTTGACAGGGTTGTGGTGATACACACACTAATTTTTTATTTTTTTACACTCATGTTTTATCTTGTGTATTGTTTTTTTATTTGATTTATTTCATCTAATGGGAACACAAATAATAATAAATACTGTGAGGCTAAAAATAGTATGTGAAAATCAGCAATCTACGAAAACTTTTTCTCAAAGTGCACTTGGTTAGGGCTTGTTTGATATCTAGTTCACTTTCAGTTTCTAGTTTTAATATTTTTGTGCTTAAGCTATGAAAACAATATATGGAAAAAAATATGGTGAAGAAGGATGGTGATAGGAAGGAGAAGAAACAAAGAAGGAGAAATGAATCTTAAAACTTAAAACAACACATAAAATGATTTTGGTTTTCATTTTGTGTGTCTCTCTTACACTATGTTTGGATGAGGGAAATAAATTTTGGAATTTGGGTAAAAATCAAAATTTATAAATTGATATGCACAAATTCCCTTGTTTGGATCCATAACCATAGAAATTTAGAATTTCCACATTGAAAAAAAACTTGAAATTTGAGACCTCCAATTCCCAAGTTTAAATTCCTTATAAATATATGTCATTTCTCAATTTCTATGATTGAGAGTTTAAAATAACAAATTTTGTATTCAATTACATTGTAATTTTAGGTTAACTAAACAAGAAAATTCACAAATTTTAGAAAATAAAGTTCCATCATTTCAATTTCCGTCAATTCCTTAATAATATTAAATTTCTTCATTCAAACTATGTTTCTACGTTTCTCACCATCCTTCATCCACAGTTCTATTTCTCTTATGTCTTCCATCTCCTTCTCCGCTATCTCTAACACAAAAATAACAAGAACGAAATGGTTATCAAACGAGTCTTTAGGTGGCATGGGTTTCAACCGAATCAGTAGCAAATGATTTTTGTTCGTCTCTCAGCATCCTTTTTGCCTCGATGAGTTCTTCCTTCCTCTAGTTCTTATTTATCTCAAATTCTAACCATCTTGTTCGCTCAGTACTTCTCTCACTTTCGACCGGTGACATAATTTAGAATTTTTGAGCCAGATGCTGGTCTTGAGTTTGTTGTGTTTTGTAGTTTCTCTAGAGGAGTTTTTTCAGTGTGCTTTCTGGGCTCTTGGTCTTTTTACTGGTTGTGAATCTCTTTGACTGAATCTTAGGATTTTGCCCTTCTCGTGAAATTTCTCATGGTTCACTTTTATGGGCTTGCTCTGTAGGAATTTCCCATGTCCCATGGCCCTTGGATATGGTCAAGTCGAAAATTACGCAAGACTAAAACTATTGGCAAGCAATACATATAATTGAGATACGTCATTTACTTTTGCACTCAAGATCCTTACATGTACCATCTAGTGATTTATATCGAATATTGACTTTATGTGGAATCGAGTTGAAATTACCCATTACAAGAATTAAAGCCCCAAAGAGCTCGTAGATAAAGTGAAATAACCGAAGAGCTTCATATCCGATCGAATAAGAAAGCAAAAGGATCAAACAAGAAGGAAACAATCCCCAAAAAATATATATAATTTGGTCCACCTATATATTTTCTTCCAGATCTCTCCTAAACAAATATAAATTCCTTCAAAATCAACCTATCAAATCCCACTCTTGATGACTAAGGCCTTCTGAAATTCCATTATCTACTAAAGAGCTCATAGAGAGAGTAGAACTTGATTCGTTGTAATTAGAACACAATAACGATATAAATTCACTTCATTCCTATTCTTAGTCTATGTTGTTAGTAAACAATTTAGTGGCATGAGTTTTCCCATACCAACTTCTTACTTTTCCTATTCCTAGGCTATCTGATCACTTACTTCTCATTAAAATTTACTTTAAGTAAACATGCCCTTAATGAAACAAACAAACCTAAATCTACAAATACTAGAAAATATAAATATTGTTTTATGCTAAAAGCTAACTTCAGAGATAACCTAGAAATAAAATGTGATTATGAAATTGTCATAACACATTCATATTTTGTCCCTCTCCGACAGAAACAACCATAAGAAGAAGACAAAAAAATGATATTGCATCAACAAAGAAAGAATAAGCCTTCACACGTATCCTATGATAAAGACTAACTTGTACAACAATGTATGATACAATATAAAGGAATGTTTACAATCATTAAACGTTCTACCTTCTTTAACTCTCATTCCAACCATGTTGTGTTGCACCATGTTCTTAACTATTTTCTTTATTTTACGAGTCACTCCTTAAAGATTAAAATGGACCAAATCCAACAAATTAATTATGACATGAATATAAGTGGTATACCACGTATCTTAATAAAAGTGATGAAAATTTTTATTTTTTAAGTTATTAACATTTTAATACGCATATTCTCACCATTTATATAATAACATATGATGTACCACTCTGTGTATCAGTCACATTGAAAAATATCTCCAAACACACAGACGTTGGAAGTAAGACAAGGACTCCACCCTCCACTCTCTCATTGAAAAATATCTCCAAGCCCAGACGTTGGAAGTAAGACAAGGACTCCACCCTCCACTCTCTCGTCGAAAAATATCTCCAAGCGCAGACGTTGGAAGTAAGACAAGGACTCCACCCTCCACTCTCTCCGCTCTCACTCTCAGGCTTCGCTAGGGCTAGGCTAGGGTTTCTGAGAATTGGAATTGTAATTGGAATTGGGGCACAGAAACAGCAGCAGCAGCTGCAGAAGAATATGGCATCCACCTCCATTGCACTCTCAGCTCTCTCAATATCACCCTCTTCTACCTCTCAACCCCACAGAAACCCTAGCGCCTACTCTTCTGCCTCCCTTCCCCGCCATCTTCCCCCCTACAACCTATCTACCACGTTTCTCGGCTCAAGGCTTTCCATTCGAATGCCGAATCTAAAGCACATGGCTTCCAAGCCTCGGACGGCCGTCGCCACCGTCCTCTTCAGCCTCCCAACAGCGTAAGTCTTCTTCTCCCAAGTGGTGGTTTTGTAATTGGACCTAGATTAAAGCCCAGCCCATCTTAGTGGTACTGTACTGATTGTTTTGTTTTGCAGGAAGCCCGACAGGAATTCTACTGGGGAAAACTCCAAGTGAGTATATTCGTTTCATTTGATTGCATTTCTTGTGTTTCTTCTTTCTTGTGCGTGCCTATATGTTTCCATGTGAATGTGAGCAGTGAGTTATTTATTGAATTTTGGTGTTTAGATGGTCCGCTAGAGCGATAAAGTCGTTTGCTATGGCTGAATTGGAAGCAAGGAAGCTTAAATATCCCAATACAGGGACCGAAGCACTTTTCATGGGGATGCTGGTTGAGGGTTAGTCAGCTTCTTTCGAGCTCATTCTCGTCCGTATTTGTGCTTCCATGTTGTTTTATTTTTTATTGATTTTTTGTTATGAAATGTTAAAACGCTGGTAATTGCCCTGCCTTCATAGAAGTGGTTCCTTTTGTAGATTACAAAACGGTTCTGTGTAAGTAATGTGTTTGCTAAGAGAAAGTGTGCCTGCACTTTAGCATTTCGAGAAGTATGAATGGCTTTGAACTTTTCACTGATGATTTTATGATTTGATGATGCTGCATCTTGGGTTTATGGAAAAACCACAGAGGAAACAATATTTGTATTTTCTGTCAGGGGAGTTGATTTTCCCACACCCTTTTTAGCCTCCCGCAAACCCATCTTTGTTTCTAACCATGATATTGAATCAGTTAAACAGAAACAACGAACATGATTAAATAAGGTTGTGTAGGAAGGGTTAAAAGGGTGTGTGTTTATCATTTCCCTTTTTGAAAAGTGGTATGTTTGAAGTCTTTATTATGGTTCTTGTTATCTTTACAGAAACCAAGGGAGGAAAGCTTGTTCATTTTCAAATCATAAGTCTTATTTCTACTTGATCTTTAACAATTAACCTTTATCTGGATGAGCTTTGGTTCACTGGATCATAAGTTGTTTACTTTAAGAATCTTACCATGCTAAAGACTCACCTAGCAGCTCCTTCAGTGGCTTCCATGTGCCCTTGCCTCTTTGTCAACGTTTGTTTAGTGTTCTTTATTTTTTCGTGTTCATGTTAATCAGATATATTACTTTTAACTTCAGGAACAAGCCTAGCTGCAAAGTTTCTTAGAGCTAATGGAATCACGCTCTTCAAGGTTCGAGATGAAACTGTAAATTTACTTGGAAAATCAGACATGTACTATTTCAGCCCTGAGCATCCTCCATTAACTGAACCAGCTCAGAGGGCCCTTGACTGGGCTTTTGATCAGAAACTAAAATCAGGTTGGTAAATTTAGGTTCAGAAAATCTAGTGATGGTGATTTTGTGGTTCTTTGAAATCTAGGATTGTCATCAGTTCCCACCTTTTCCATGTAGGCATGTATGCTCTCCATGCATAATTGTTTGGTTGGCTAGTGCATTTTTATCCTCACTAGTTATTGAGATTGTCTTCTCTGATGCAGGAGAAAATGGGGAAATAACAGTAACTCATCTGCTTCTTGGGATTTGGTCTGAAAAAGAGTCAGCAGGTCACAAGATCTTGGCGTCCCTAGGTTTTGATGATGACAAAGCTACAGAGCTTTCCAAATTTGTAAGTTTTAAGCTGGATTTTCTTCTTGAGTAGTTTTTGTTTTAACGACTGCTAATATGGCTATTGTTTCATACAGATGGATAAGGATTATGATCGTAGCTTTAAATAAGGTATAAGGAGGCAAAAACGTCCCATTCTCCAAACAATTGCTTGCTGTCAAACCTTCGCCTACACAGCCTTGAAAAGATATCGCTTCCTGGTGCTTTTGGTTCAGGAAGTTCCTCTGCATATGGTGTGTTTCAGGATGGAGATTCGCAAACAATTGTTCGTTGATATAAATTTTGTATTCGTTGTATTACCGAATTCATGGAATTCAAAAATTCCATGCAGCAGTAACATGGCGCGTAATTGACTCTTGCAAGAAAGAAAAGAAAAATGATTCACTTGTTTCTATTTCATTAGTTTTTACCTTGCCTTGCTAAGCATTCAGCCGCTTTCCAACATCTGATGTATTGACGCTTTCATTGTATTATAAGACCAAGAGTTGAAACATTCATTGAACTCGTACAATGATTTTCGAGGTATGGATGTTTATCCTTGGAATACATTGTGGCGTCGTTTATTCTTGTATTCTGTAATTTGAGATATGTGGCAGGTTCCAGGTCGGTTAAAGAAACAGTTGTTTCTAAGTGCATAAACTCAAGAGGTTCTAAGTGCGTACACTGACGGTCAAATTATCACGTCATGTTTTGGCCTTTGGGGGTAGTAGTAATCTGATGGCTCGTGCATAATCTGCTACAAAATTAGTTTCACTGAATGTAGCGAGGAAGAGAGGGAAAGTAGTGAAACGCTAGAAATAAAAAAATTATAAATGCACAGAGTTGCTCCTTGGATCATTCTTTCTATGTTTCCCAGTTACATTTGATCTGCCATGGTGGTGGTGGTGCATGATGAAGAGTCACTTGCCACCGGAGAGGGCAAAATGGGGACAAAACTTGTCCATTGAAAGAAATTCTTAGTTGTGATAAATCTTATCGACGGTAATGCCAACCCTAGTCGGAGATTATCTTCTTTGTTGAATGATATCTCACACTTTTACACGGTTTTACTAGTCACTAGTCACCCATTTGGTCGCATGTGTCCTTGCTACTCATGACCCCATTTTAAACAATCTTTTTTATATGTGTACCATAACTTCCCATACAACAACATACTTAGAACTTGTCAAGTTAGCTAAATCAGTGTGTTTCATTATCTGCACTTAAGTTCGAATTTCATTGTTTGTCCTTTAAATAAATTTTGTTTAATATTTTTACTGCATTTAAACCTCCCAAGGGGAGCCAATTAGTAATTTGAGCATGCAATCAATAATGTAGGAGAGGAAAAAGAGTGCAAAAACTATTTTTCTAATTGTACCATGTGTTTTGCACATAGTCTACATGCATGGTAATAAAACCAACAAATGTCATTGCATGAGTAATTTTGCCACCAGGTGTAATCTCAGGTGCAAATTTTTTATGGAGTTTAAACGAAAATCGTGATGTTAGCTTTGACGTTCTGGTGGAGCTTGATTCTTTTATACCCACCTCCTCCTTCTCCTCCTCCTTGTGCGCGGCTGTTTATGCCTTTAATTTCTTTTTCTCTTTTCGCTTTTCCTTTTTCTTTTGCTTTTATCTAATTTCAACCATGATTGATAGGCTGATCGCTAAGCATTTGAAAAAAAAGGGGAAACCAAAATGCATACTCGCAGCGAAGAACCGGTAGATCAAAATTCCTATCAAGGTGCTCATGGACTCACTTTTTTCATAAAAGAATCTGCAAAATTAATTTTTCTAAAAAAGAAGAGAAAATATACCATGTATAAAAGTAGGAGCCCTCTAAAGAGGAGAATTTGCTGCCTAGTGGCCAAGATAAAAAAAGAACATTATCATCTGCCCTTGTACAGTGTATATGCTTTTAGCTACAACAAAAAATATTCACTGAGCATTGGGAATCCCACTTAGTGCCTTCTCATTTTACATGTTAGCATAAGGCTGGTTGAAAATTTGATATGCTAGCTACGAGAAAATTATCATCTTCCCTTTTCTGTGACTAGCTACTAGAAACTTTTTTTATTATCGATAACAAAAATCATCTGGTATGCCAATCTACATGTTATAACAAATGTGGACAACAAAACTGATATGTTCCACATCTGGTATATTTTATTAAAAACAAAATTCACGTGGTACAATTAGTATCATTGGAACGCCAAGCGATCAAGTGGTTACTACCGCAACTGCTACCACAAAAAATAACCCACCTTGTTGGCTGCAGTTGCAATCTCCCAACCCCTCTGATTGTCACCACCGCTTGCACCAAATGACCACCACCAAAAATTTACTTCTTGTCTTGAAGGCTCGACCAGCAACCCTATCGCCGCCACCATCATGAGAATCTGTCACATCAGTTTTCTTCTTCTAGATCTAGAACTAAGAACTCGTTTGAACGTACTTTTAAAGTGACTAAAACGCTTTTGGTGAAAATATTTTTGAAACCAATCATTAGTAAAAATGAAAGTAAATTCTGGAAAAGCACTTAAAGTATAGACTAAATTTTTGAGGTTTGTTATTGAATACATTGTGGATGCAAATTTCCATCTTCTTCTTGGACAAAATTGCACCTACAAAACAAATAATAACTTAGGTCAAGGCCAAGAGCCTCACGCACCCACGATGAATGGGCGGGGGGTGCTTTGGCCGAAGAACCTCCAATGCCAAAGTTAGAATTTTGAGGGAAAAATGTTTGAAGAATTTTGCAAGAGAGTTGGAATTGAGTTTTGGAGAAAATGAGGTAGTATTTATAGGGGTATGGCCGGCCCCTTTGGGAGGATGGGGACCAGCCACTTGAATGGTTTTTTGGATGTGATTCATAATTTGTTAGCTAATTAGTAAAGTAATTGAGCAATAAATCAATTAATTAGCTAATTAATATAATTTGAAATGAATGATTTGGGGGTTACCTTGTGGAGAAGATTTGATGAGGATGGATGAAATAGGTTTTGAATAATTACCTATTTTGAGCACTTTTGACCTTAATTGAGTCATGATTATCCATTGCTCGCAGGTAAGAGTTTCGATATTCCTCGAGGGTAATTTTGTCCTTTTTACCCTAGAATCCACCCGTCGCCTCCATATTTTTCTTGATTATTTTTGGCTCCACAAATGCCCCCACACCTGGTGGGCTGCTCGCAAGAAAGGGCAGCAAGTGTAAAGATCTTCTTGCTTTAGAAAACGTAGGATTGTTTCCTATTTTGATGTAGATTCTCTCTTTAATTAAAAATTAGATCCTTCTAGGAAAGGGAAATAAATCACTTCTAAAGTTTATTTAAGTCCACCTTAAATAGATGATTAAATCAACTTTAGAGAGCAATTTATTCTACCCTACTACAGAGAGAAAGCTAGAGGATATTTGTTCATCCTCCCCTAGCAATCTTCTACAATTGCCCATGCAAATAACCGTCTTTCGTTGTTTTCTTCGTCTTCTCCGCGCCGCTTAATTTTCCTTATCTTCTTCTTGGATAATGCTACCACGGGGCAACCGTCGAGGTGGTGTAGCATGTCGGTTGGCAGGGGCCAGGAGATGGCTAAGCATGGGCCGAGGAAGTGTTGTGGTAGGGACCATTGCTTGGCCTGCTCGGCTTGGCTAAAGCCAAAGGCAATTTGTGTGGCTTGGGCCGCGGATTAAGGCGCTAGGGTGAAGTGCTAGGCGAGCCGCATGGCTCCTGTCCTCTGAGGTCTTGGACCTGACGCAGACCAGGTCGATGATTGAGAAAAATGAGGAGGTCATGCGTTTTATGGGCTGCTGGAATGTTAGGCATGCAGGCTTCATGCTTGCTGGTCCGAGAGAAAAAATGAAGGAAAAGCCAGTATAGGTTGAGCTCTCCTATTGAGTACCGTGGCGTTGACTGCTTAGTCCTCTTTGCCGGGAGAAAGGTGGGTTTCTCTCGAGAGAGGAGGTAAAAAGGATTAAGGCAGATACATTGGCTCATTTGATCGTTGTCGTGGAACCTACTATGAATGAAGATGGAAAGAAGAGATCTTCCCCTCCTGCTCAAAAAATGCCGGTTGAGAAAAAACTGAAGACTTCCTCCGCTGCTCGTGAGGGTTCGCCTGTTGCCGAGAGGCCTGTGATTGACATGACTTCTTCCAATGGAAAGAAAAATGAGGTTGTTAGATCTGAGCCTGTGGTGCATGCCATGTCGAGAATGGCTAGTACGATTGCTGATAGGATTGCTCAGCGTAGAGGTCTTGTCGTGTTCCCAATGCCGAAGTCTGTACCAAGACGTCCGTTGGGAGTTAAGTCTGGTTCACCTTTGGAGAGGCTTGCTATTTATGAAGAGTGATAAGATAGACTCTATTGCTAAAGTGGCGCAAGGCCCACTCCTGCTGCTGCTGAAATTGATTTACCTGTTGAGAACAAGGAGACTGCTCGCATGGGCAGCTGTGAGAAATCCACTAAGCTTGCTTCTAGGGAGGCTGCTGAGATCTATGCACTTTTGAAACCAGATCTGCTTGAAGACATGGATGTTTGTGCCAAGTTTGTCGATGACGTTAGAAGGGTTGTTTGCCCAAGTTCCTTTGCGAAGCATATGACCGAGTATAAGAAGATTGCCCTACTTGCCATGATGCAGAAGATGATTATTTTGGCAGCCGAGTCTATGCTCCTTGACCAAAAGGATACCAAGGCTGCCAAGGAGATGGCAAAAACTGTGGGAGTCGAAGCTTATTATTCAACCGAAAAGATCAAAAGGTTGGAATCTGAGCTCGTCTCTTTGAAGAGGTCTAATATCTCTGCCCCCACGTCTCTGCAGCTTGAGACCGCTCGCCAAGAGATCGTTGATTTAAAGACTAGGCTTGACGCAATCCAAGTTATGTATGAAAGTGCAGAGAAGGAGATCAGATGTTATAGACCTCATATTCAAGATCTTGAGCGTGCCATTTCTGAGCTTTGTTCTACTGCTTATAACCAAGTGATCCACTTCAAGAAAATCGTTGATAGGCTTGAACCCAGGTGTTGGAACTCCAAGGTGTGCTGAAGATCAACGAAAGTTTGAAGAAATAAGTGGATGAGCTGTCGCACATCTATGTTGGTGTGCTCGAAGAGAACGAGCAGTTGAAAGATGAGAAGGCTGGGCTCAAGGCTTCACTTGTTCAGAGTCATGCCGATTTCTACAAGCTGAGTTATGTAGATTATCTCTTTGGTAGGCCGTCTAACTTCAGTTTGCTGGGAAAGACTTTGAAACCTTTTTTATTTCTCCGGAAGACTTGTTTACCTTTACTTTTGAGGCTTCCATTGGTGAAGTAGTCGAAGAAGTTGGTGCTGAGGTTGGGGCAGCAAGGGATGAAGTGTTGGATGGTGCCGCTGCTACTGAAAGTGTGGCGACCGAGTAGTCATGGAGCGTCCAAGCTGCTAAAGAGTAGTCTTCTATGTAGTTTTTAAGACTTTCTTTATTTTCCTTGTTGCTTTTGCTTTGCTTGAACTCCTTTGGTCTGTGCTAGTCGTTTATCAATTTTG